GTTGAGGAAGTAGTATATTCTAATTCAGTGCTACATATTTAATACAATTTACCTCTCAACACATCCTCACACGAGTGTAGCATTATTGTCTCTGTAGCGCAGTGGGAAATTCAAACAGAGTAATGCACAAATTAATATCTGGTTCAATTCTTTGCCAACAGCTCACACCCTCAGGATAGCCTTTTCTCAGGGCAGAAAAGGGTAAACAAATGAGAGATGTAACGATGTCAGAGAAAATGCTTCCTTTGCGTGCTACCTCAAGTTTATTCAAAGCAATGACAGATGAGAACAAAGCAAAAGAAATAATACTGAAGAGGAATTAAGAGGGCAGCACGCGTGCTTAAAAAACACAACACAAAAAAACCCAACCAAACCAACCTGTAAAAGAATATAAACGAGTTGGGACCCTTGAGAGAACTTGTCTTAGTATATACAGCCTCTTTAAGTGCAGGCTGGGAGAGCACCTTAGAGGCTTCAAGTTGGCTCCAGTAAAGGGGCAAGGGGGGGAACAGGGCAAAAACTTAGAGGTGTGTTTTCAGGCAATATTTTTTGACTAGCATCCCACTTCATATTTATCTAACGGGAGGGAAAGCGGGGGGGGGAAAGGAGAAAGACCTGAAAGTCTCATGCAAGCATCTTACACTTCCAAGAAGCAGAAGGGAATGCTAATTTTTCAGTCAGTGATATAAAGGACTCTGAATTTAAATGTATAATTACAAGTTATAAATCCACCTTAAGTTTCACATATTTGCATCCACACTGATCCTAACTGCAGCCGTGTTTTCAGAATCTCACGAGGGGTAGCAATGCTCCGTACTTACAGGCAGGACAAGCAAAGACAACTTGGCAGCTAGCACGACTAACACAGAAACATGGCAGGTTTATTGCCAATGCCTAACATTCCTCTGCTCCCTACTAGCTTTCTGTGAAGTTAGTGGGGTTTACAGGATGTATGAGGTTAAAGTTCAGGATATACAGCATTAAAATTAAACATGTGAACTAACTCAAAACTCCAATTACCCTTTACAAAATATGTTTTAATACAGACAGCTCGCAAATCAAACAAACTGCCCTGATGCATTGCTAAGCTGCATACATGACACCTGCATATACAAAATTGTAGTCTTAATTCACAACTACCAAAAGCAAGAGCACGACAAAGTTCTCGTGCAATGTGTGACATTGCATTCAGTACAAAGAAAACCGTGGAACCTATGCTTTACCTTGCCTTTTTGTAAGAGAAGAAAGCTCATGTTTTAGCCCATCTTTTCTTAGTTGAAACACCTTCCTGGAAGCGTGTAATTTTTTGCTTTTTTTAATTTAAATGTAAGGAAACTTTTTTTCTTAAACCAATCAAGAATTTAACTAAAGTGTTTATGTGCTTGCTTAGTATTAAAACACCCATGTTGACTCTCAAATTAATGTTTTCTGGGGGTCTTACCCTAAACAAGTTGATTCCCATGCCTACTCCTGTTCAGGAAGCTCAGCTAAAACCCCTTTTTTATTAAAAAGGAAAAAGAGACAAATTTGTAACTGCCATTTTATTTATGTCTGAAAATCATGACAGTAGTGCCACGGGTCTTTGTTGTATTGGGCATGTTACAAGCAGTAAAGTCAGATTATGAGAGCTGGGATTTTACACACAGATTTTTGTACTTAGTACAGGAGTGAAGTTACTGACTCCTCCCTGCTAGATTTTGAAGTATAAGGTAAAAATGCCACAGTGTGAAAAGGTGAAGTATACTGACCATAGAAGGAACTGTAACTTCCACTATAATTTCACTCGGTATCCAAGATTGCAGAAATGTCCCCTCCCCCCAAGTTTATGGTAGCCAAAAGACATTACGTGAGTTAATTAGAAATTACAATGTCTTTCAAATGAAGTAATTCACCCCAGCCACAAATTCACCCCAGCCACAACCTCAAAGAAAAAAATCCTGGTGGCAGCGAACTTTCTTAAAACAATGAAGCTGTAGAGCTTGTGTTTGGCAGAACTAATGTTTCTGGAGGCTGAAGTGAGTACAGTGGAATTATGAAGACATTCCTTTCTCCATTCACAAGTCTCTCCCTAAAGAACATCTCGTTGAAAACAGGAAAGCCACCATCTGCTTGATGATTCAAAATTCTGAAAATAAATGGTTTTGGAGGGTATTTAAAAAAGAAAGAAAACCCAAAACCAAAACAAACCCCCAAAAAACCGCAAACAGAAAAAAAAAAGCAAAATCCACATTTATCTGTTGTTTGAAGCCCAGATATTGCAACACTGAGAACAAAATAAAGACTACAAAACAACTTTGCTTATAGTTCCAGACTAAGAATGTAAAGTTTGTGACAAATAAGTATGATTCCAGAGTTTTACTTTCTAGAACAGAGAAGTTAAATTAGGTTTTAAGAATCTTTAAGTTGTTCATAAACCTTTCAAAGAAAAGCATAAGGTGCTTAAGACTCCAAAGTAAGAACCTAATTTGATTAAGAGCTCTGCTTCACTAATGCTACCTCAGAGAACTACATACAACTGCATTTTGTTACATATTTGAGCAACTTTTTCTTCGCTTTTATTCTCCCTCCCATACACAGGCAAAATAAAAGCTATAAATTGAAGTATAGCCTAATGCTGTTGGGACAGCAGTTTAAAATTGGACAAAACGCTGATGCTTGGCTGCATCTTCATATTACAATTCAAGAAGTGCTAGACAGCTGTATATAGACTCCTATTTTTGACCATTCACATCTAGAAATAACTTTCTATTGTTGATATGTCTAAACTGACGTCTATCTAGAACTAGTACAGTATTGTGGCAAAGCTTCTCCCCCTCTTACGTTATTCCCAAAACTGGCAAAGATTAGAAAACTTTGGGAAAAACCCATCAAGTTTGATTCATCCACAATTTGTTTAAAGCATTTTAAAGTAAGAAAATCCTCATCTTTAGCGTTCGCCCATGAGGAAACAGCAACTCTAACTACAGCAGAAAAGGAGAAAAATGCACAGTTTAATCCAAATTCCAGCAGGATTCTCCTCCCACCTCCCATTTCTAGCATTGCAATATCAGTACACATTATGAAACAATATCTAGTTCTACAATACTTTTCCACAAGTTACATTCTTTTATGCAGAAGAGCAGTAGTAGTTTGAGCTTACAGTGTGTTCATCTGGACATCTGAAAACATCTTGCAAAGTCTCAAAATACTCTCGTAAGTTCGGCAAGTAGACATTCATTTCACAGAATAATTTGAGGATGAAGAAGGGCATTAGTAACAAGGTAAGGTATAAGAAATAAATTTATACTGACAGGAAAGAGTCCTAATAGGAGGAGTGCAATTCCAGTAAATACTACTTCTATAATTCAGGACATAAACATTACTTTTTCCATAGAAAGCTCAGACATTTAAATACTGACATATACCAGTTTCAGATTAGGGTGGAAATAAAGCAGTCACAACCTTCGTGTGCACTGTAAGCATAAGCTAACTTTACAAGCAGTAATACGTGTATTAACACTGAATTTGGAAAATTACTGCATTAGTTCTCAAGATATGAATTATGCATGTTTTCATCTAAAGCTTTATGAGAAGTGTTCTGTTTCTGTACAAGCATGAACTTCTGAAGCGCTGGTACACAAAGCAGTTATCCTGAAGATATGTAAAAGTTTGTTCAAAAATTTCAGACAACAGGATTCTTTTCTAGAATTGGTAACTGCTTACATAGTTCCAATTCCTGTGGGGAACTGGATGTTCACTTCCTCGGCGGGAACAGTTTCTTATGCTATAATTACTTAGATACGAAGAAAATTCTTTCATGCCTTTTTTTTCCTTATGCTTCATGTCCATCACTTCCTCAGCATCATTTTGTCACGCATCTTCCCTTTAACAACTGGGACACTGCTCCCTTGAAGCCTGCCTAAGTTTTCAAGGAGACAAATACTGATTTTTAGGTATTACCTGGGTTATGATGTGTTAATTTGACAAATCTGGCCTAAGTTCTAAACATAGGAAGGAAAAAGCATATTTCATTTTTTTAGCACAATCTTTAGATGGTAAAGCCTGGAGTTTCTGCAAATTTTACTTTCCTGGGATTTGATCAAACTGACTACCTCTAATGCTGCGGAAATGTATATTTACTATTCCACAAAGCAACCAAGAATGCTTCAGTACAGAGCTTTCAGGACAAAGCCCAATGTTCCCTGTAATCAGTACTTGCTGGCTGGACACTGAGACCAGACCAGGGCCCCCCCCTAATGTTAGCAAAGAATCTTCTCTCCCTCCCACCCCATGCCATCTGTACGGCTGCCTGGAAAAGAAACACATCAAAAAGAACACAGATAAAAGCACAACTGGGACATAAGTGTTGTAAGACCTGAATAAGCAGAGGTTGAAAGCAAAGGGAGGAAAAATACCGATTAGTTCATCAAGGAGGAAGGTACCTAGTGAAAAAGGAACTAGAGCATCCAGTGCTCCAGTCTCATCTACTCTGGGGACCAATCAGGATGCAGAGAGTACCAAAAGAGGTATTTATGGGGATCATCAACCACATGCTCTGGTTTCTAATGATAAATGAAAAGGAATTTCAGTCTTAACTCTGACTCTGCACAGTGAGAGTGTACTACCTCCATTAAACAATGGCAATGACTGATGAAATTACCGGCAGGAAGGATCAGCTGGGCTCCTTAATTCACTTTGGGCAACGTAAACTATCTCAAAGCTTACCGGTATTAGCTAACCTAATCTGATTGAATTTGCAGAAATGGATTAGAACAAGCTCCGATAATTCTGTGCCAGAGAAACAGGAGGTACCAAGTATTTGGGTGTGACATTAATTTTCAGCACCACAGCCAACATAGGGAAATCATCCACAGTCCACGCATTCCACTTCACAGTCCAACAGTGTTAACAGATATTTAAAGTCTGTAAAACTCTACACTCAATACTGCAAGAATGCTCTTCTGCAAATTTCCTTGAAACCAAACAAATATGGTTTAATCATGCAAAAAAATCCAACAGGATTTTTTTTTTTTAGCTACACTGTCAATTTTAACAATGAGTTCTTCCTGGAAAGAAGGAAAATAGCAGGCAATGTATTTTCAAGTTCCCAAAACAGCCACTAATAGCTTCAAAACCTTTGAAGAGAGCTATTTTTCTGTTAGACTCTCCCTTATGTTAGAACTTGGAATATTCCAAGTCCAAAACTATAACTTTCAGTCAGAAATTCATCTACCCTAGCACATGGGATGCTAGTAGAAGAAGTATCTACGGCATGTATTTGTCAGAAGACAAAGTCATAATGGTTCCTTTTCATCCTAAGATGTATGAATCTGCACTGTGCAAGAGATTTAAAAATCAATATTTACTAGCACTACTAAAACACAAAACATTCAAGTAGTATATAACTGTAATGCAAGCCCTTGCATGGCAATCCAAATTTATTGAACTACTGATGCTAAGTCATACAAAATTGCACCACTTTTAATTAAGGCTTTTAGTTTACATTTGGCCACCTCAAAGCAGTTGTAACATTAGGTTGGTCAATTTAAATACTGTGGCTCCCTGTTGGATATACACACAATCTTTACACCCAAACGTTAATGCATACAAAGCAACAAGGCATTGTTAAATAAATCAGCAAAAGTTAATTACTGCAACTTAGGCCCTGTGACCAATTACACATGATTAAAATTACTTCCCACATTCACATCCACAGTACTCTTCCACCATTTAACATCTCAACCAAAACGTTACACATGTAAAACAATCACTAACAGGCAAAAGTACTAAACCTGTATATTTGGTATTGCAAATACACTTATGCATGAGCAAGCAAGGGAATTCACAGTGAGAATCTACAGCTGCAGAAGCCCGAAAATGATTTACAAAAAATTGTTAAATCATTAAAAAATCGTTTTAAAATATACACTTCTTGTTGTAGACCCCCACTGTACACACAACTATAAACATTGTTCCCTATGTAAACAAGGAAAAGGAAACATACAATAAAAGGTTGAAAAGTCTGGACATTTCCTTCCCAACAGATATTAAAGGCCATGTCTTTAGTCAGACGTTATACTGAAAGGACTCTTAAAGACTAGATCACTGTCTCCACAGGTTTTTCCTAAAATTAAAAAACTATATAGCTGTTGTGTTAATCAAAGCGCTTTTGTACAATACGATGATGATGATCCTGTATTTCTTTAAAAAAGTTACAATAAGCTACAAATACCGATGAAGCAAAGTTATCTGGAGTAGTCTATATAGGAGCTCTTTGGACTTTCTTTTATTATGCTAAAATAGTGGTGCTTTTAGGATTTACATTATTGTACTCTCCAATAGAAAGTGGGGATTGTTGAAGTATACAGTACACAGTTTTCATACATGTACAACATTGGTGGATGAATAATGTCTCTTATCAGTAATACTGGATGTAGGCTCTGGTTTTACCAGTTGCATACACTTAGAATATTTATAAGTAAAAATCTCTCGTGACACTGGAAAGTGATTAGAATGTGCAAACTGATGTAGTAGCTTTCATCCATTTCTTAAAGGGTACCACCACAGGAAAGTCCATTTAAGATGTTGGTAGGTTTAATAAAGTTGGAATGCTGGCACTGTTGAATTGGGCAACAGTTCTTCAGACCTGTAACAACAAAACACGAGGTTAGTATTAATAACAACTATTTGTCATTTCTCTTTAGTTAAAAGAACTAAAGCAGGAACTAGCAAAGTTCTTGGCAAACAGACTTGGAAGATAAGGTTATCACTTCTCCTCTACTAATGTAATTTCTACTGTGCACATACAAATAGCAGACTCTCAATTAGTAAAACTGAATTGGGATACATATGGTAATCCAAGCTGAACTGTGGAAGTAGTATTTGATGGGTGGGACTAGTTTTGCTTACAGTATGACAGTTCTAGTGGCTTTAAAAAACAAAAACAGATTTGGAGGATCAAAGCTCCTGAATCAAAAGCCCTGCTAAGGAAACGCAGCAGCCATTTCTGCCATCCTCAGCTAATACTTTTGGAACCCTCTCAGTTTTACTTTTAACTGATTCAAGTTGTTCAAATTATATAAGTTTTAATATTGATACCGAAAAGAGTTAAACATGGCACTATCTGAATATTAATAAAAGCCTGCAATTTATGACAGTGAAATCCTATCAGGATCCCTCACTGCATCAACCAGGTCTGTCAGATGACAAAATAATGGATAACAGCACTGAAGCAACCAAACCACCGTATGTTCAGTAACATTGAAGGGAATCAAGATGAACAGGCAACTTGCATGATGTCAGGTCAATCAAAAGAGACCTCTGTCCATACTAAGGCTCAGAGGTGGAAAGGGGGAAACAACCTGCCGAAGAACAAGTTGCAGAAAAATCACGCCTGCTGACTAACTTCTGAAAAGGCTTGCTTAAAGAGCAGGCTGGAGCTTGCTTCAGCCTTCAGCAGCATTCTTAAAGCAAGGATTTTGTCATGTAGAACATTAGCCAACTGCCAACGAGTAAGAAATTGATCTAGTAGCCAGCAGCTCCAGGTCAAATATTTGGAGTGTTAAAATGATCGCTTCACTGTTCTCTTCCAAATGTACCAGTTACAATGCAGCCTATAAAATATCCATATAGTCCAAAGAAAGTAAGCTGAATTCCTATGACATCATGCAAGTACGTGCAGGAGTTCAAAGCAGAAAGTGACATTTTAGCATGCAAACTGCAGTATTTCAGTGTGCATTCCTGATAATTGAGCTCTTGCAGTATATTCTATCAGCCTTTAAAAAAGAAAACCCTGTTTCCAAAAACTAAAGTTTTGAAGTATCAGAATGAACATCCTTAATTTGAGCTCTGCCAACACCTTAAAGCTTGCAACAAGGAATATGATACTAGTGTGAACAGTGTATCTTGCACATATTTGTAGTTCTGACTTTGGAATGGCAAAATAAAGACCATAAAAATTTCTATGATAATGTAAATCAAGAGTTTTCAATGCTGTTCTGCATCAACAGCGACCACAGTTGTTTAGGTATTTTTTTTTTCCTGTTGTTTTGTTTGTTTTTAATAGCCATAATACACAGAAAATTTTAAAGGTTTACCTGGCTCAGAGCTACAGTACAGCTATGTATTAAAGTAGCTGACATGATGACTTTTTGCGTGCTTTTCCAGGCACTGGAGTTTTTCTGTTAATTTGTCGCACAAGGTCATAAAAGATCTGAGAACATAAAAATCAGTTGGTTATTGGAATTAAGAGGCTTCTCTCATAACCTTAAGCCTTGAATCTTCACACATAATGTACTCACATACTCAAAACCCCCTGTAAATACTTAGTTATCACAAAGCCAGAAAGTTAAATTGTATACTTAATTAATACCTGTTTATTTTCTGTTTAAGATAATTGTCTGTCAAGGCTTTTCTACTTTCAATGAAGCAAACTGGAAGGGCATCTATAATCTGCAGCTGTTTAATCTCTGTGTCAAATTTATCTGAACACACATGATACATGTCACAGTGATCAACTACTATATGCTATTACTTTGCAATTTAGCACTGAGGTCAGGAAACAGGCCACAGCTTTCTTCTAACTCAAATCACTCTAAAGATATCCTTTTAAAGAAAGTTCTAGTAAGTTTTAACTCCACATTTTCATGGTAACTCAAGTACACTGCATATTCTGTAATAGTCTCTTGTATTTGAATGAGATCATGCTTTTCCAGATACTTTAAAAATACTAAAGTCTAGAGAATTAATTCAGCAGCCTCTCTAGGACTACAGCATGACATAAGCGTAACATTTCCTAGAAAAGTAACTCATGTATGAGACACTCTCACACTTTGAATCTCTTAGAATTCTAATTAGAACATGATTTTGTTGAAAGGCTAATTTAAGACAAGTTTACATACTACAATTAAACAGCATCTGTTTTGGTCATAACTGACACTGTTCCAATTATTTCTGCATCTCCTAAATCAAGGAAGTCCTCATACTAAAGCCATCCTAGCAGTCTCCTAAGCACTGGCTGCAAAGCAGCGAACATTCCAACAAGGGCTTTTAGTATTTGACGGAAGTAAGTTTAGTTTATTAAACATATGACTTTTATATAGTTAAGCTGATTAATTTGTATAAGAAAAACTGAATAGTTCCCAGAAATTCCCAACTAATTAAACTGTGCTTAAAACCACCATACTCATTTGATTACATGCAAGTCTTGCACAGAGGCCCTTTCAACTCGACTGATGCTGCCAACAATGTTTTCCAGAAGACACAATGAAGCTGTTCCAGAAATGTAAACACTAACACAACTTCTTTTTCTGAAAATTTTTGCATCCGTTTCTTTATGCTGGCACCCCCACAGGATAAGAAGGCATGCACTATGTCAAGTCCCAAAAATGCATGTGTTTGATCCGTCACCTAGCTCCTGCTAAATAAGTAGCTAGATAGTAGAGAGGTTTTTGCCTCCTTTTTCTCTAATTAGCTGCTAATTTGGACAAAACCCTTAAGAGTTTTTGTCCTTACTATCTCAAATAATTTAATACCAAATAACTTAAAATCAATTAGTTTTAAGGACTTAACTAAAAAAAAAACCCTTTAAGAAAGTAGTCTAGCAGTGCATTCTCAGTGGATAGAGATTATATCAACTAGGGAATATAACATGAAAAAAGTATTTATCCCAAATTCATATGAATATAATTTGAAAACTAATTATACTAAAATGAATATAATTTTAAAAAGTCCTAAGTCAAAGCTAACTACATCCCTTAATCGAAACATCTCAAATTCTCACAATAGTTTTGTACAGTTTTGTCCATTAACAGTGAAAGTTATTCATAATTTAGTTAGTTTTTCTTGACAAACGGTAATGTCTGGTTACCAGAACAGTGTCCCATCTTTCTCTCCCTGCCATCCCTCCCCCCACAGGTAGTGGGCCTTACCTCGTTAACATTTATCTTTGATTTTGCAGAAGACTCTAAGAATGCACAGTTATTCCATTGCCTTGCTAGGTTCTGACCTTGTTCCTTTCCCACAACTCTTTCATCTTCCAAGTCACACTTATTGCCAACCAGAATCATAGGCACCTAAAAACAATTTGATACCAGCAAAGAATTCATTAAAATTTTGGGAAGGCACACTGTAAATGCACACCTAAAACCCTATCTGAACCCTTAGAGGATCCTGACCTCCAGAATAATCAAGCTCTGGTGTAACAGGAACTTAAGTTCATGGTTGTGTGAGACTTTAATCTTCAAATCAAAATGACTGCATTTTTTGCCTGTTGTTTGGCAGGGCGGTGGGGGAATGGTTTGAGGATTCGGTACATCGCCAACTGAGAAAGTTTCACATCTTCTAGAAGACCTAATGAGATTTCATTTTTAGACGTTTAAGGTATCAAGAAGTCTACTGAAGAATCTGCTACAAGATTCTTACATGTTCAGAAATCCTGGAAAAAGTGGCCTGTACTGGACTGCATGATGAAGGACGCTAAAGCTCCTTTCACCATTCCTCTACTTCCAGCGTATCTGCACTCCTCTCAAGAGCAGTTTGCTCACACAGTTCTTGTTAGTAATCTGATGCACACAGAGGAAAGAAACATGCTAGCTTATCAAAATTACTAACTACAGAAAATGCTGAATTGACCTTTGTGGCAAGAAAAGGCAATCATACAAAGTTGTTTTTTTTTCCTTCCTTCTACTAATTTAAAGACATAGCTAAGTTTCTCCCAAATTCAAGTGTTGAAAAAAGGTTTACAATATTTTGATCATTTAGTCGTCCCCCCCGAGAAAGCAAGTCATGCCTAAGCTTTGGCATAGGAAAAACTTTATGAAAATTTTGGTGAGAACTAAAGCTGCAACTTGAAGCTCATTATCTTTCTCCTGATTCTATGGAATGGCTTTCAAGACTGAGGGGAGCGTTCTAAAGAGAAATACAATTCCAAGGAAATACTACCAAAATACTACCAAAGAAAGCTTATGCGAATCAGCATAAATATACCAGGTAAACTAAACGTGACAATATTTGAAACCTTATCTTGATTTTAGCGTACAAAATTAATTTGATGCTGAACAAGGCTATAACTTGGTAGGTTCTGGATGGGAAAGGCACGTGCAACTTTACTACCCTTTTGAGATACATTTGTGATAATGGGTAATAAATCACTTCTAGAAGAAATCTGCTGAACACAGGCAAGACCTGCAAATGCTTACACTTAAGAAAGTGCAAGGTGGTTTGTATTACAAAAGTCACAATGAACTTCCCCAAAATTAAAACATTTAATACACTCTGTGTCTGCTGGCAACAGAAGTATATGTGGATACATGCAGTAAGGAAGGGATTGAAGTTTCCATGAGCACAGTTTAAATGAGATGAGCACACTTAAACACTGTTCATTGCTTACTTTTTTTTTTTCAAGGAAGATTTTCTGTCTGATGACTACACCATGCAAGGTGCTTCTGCTAAAAACACACTTTTACTGCTGTTTCACATTTGAAATACCTTCTTCCTTTTATTAAGGGACTAAGTATTTACTTCCTACAACTGCAATAAGTTTTTTTTTAATCAGTTATAAACTGGTATGTTTTAGCCTCACATTATAGCTTTAATAATGCTAAGAGGTACATATTGAAATTGTGTGAAAATAGTACGACCAAACTTACTTGCAGGAACACACAAAAAATATAAAAGCTGCATAACGTGCAAGTTTAAAGCTTACAATACTGTCTTCTGTAAGAACTTAGAATTTAGTGCTTTAAAATACCATAAACAGTAGGCATACTGAAGAGAAAAAACTGAACTTTAGGTTTTTTTGAACCTTCACTGATAGTAACTAAGGTAAGAATAGAGTTGCTTTAGAAATGTTTTCTGCAGTACTAGTGAATAAGGTTATATATCGTTTCAAATAGAGTATTTTAAAGGAAGATATTAAAAAGACAATTATCTTTATATACTACATGACAATTTACGATTTCTCCAGTTTGCCTTAAGAGTTGCATTTCTGTACTATGCATCTACTGGTTGATTTGTCTCTTAATTTAAAGCTTGGAAGCTATCCGATCACAGGGCATACATTACAACTGAAATGAAAACTGTAAATATAAGTAATAAGTATTTTTAGAGATGCTTACATCATCAGTGTCTTTGACTCGAAGAATCTGTTCTCTCAGATCCTGTAAATCATTAAATGTGGACTGTGCTGTGATGGAATATACTAATGCAAAACCTTGTCCGTTTTTCATGTATAGGTCTCTCATTGCTGTAAACTGTTCCTGTAATTAAAAAAAGATACAGATGTTGCATTCAGTTTGCACTTTCCTTACACGAACTGCAATATACTTCAGGTCACAAATGGATCACAAGTACAATGCATTTGTGCCCTCCCCCCCCCTTTTAAACTGACCAATATTTTACTATTTGACTATAAGCATTACAGTAAACCGAACCACTTTTAAATAAATCTGGTTTGGAACATTATCTGGGGTGGCTGAACAATATCTACATATTGCCAAGGGCTATACCCTGGGGGGTGGGGGGAGGGCAGAATCACAGAAACTGAAGTAATTTCAAAAGAGAGGAGGCACAGTGGAAGGTACAGTGTAATCTGTAGGTTACAGAAGTTACATTCCTCCCGAATCCTTCCTTACATACCAACTTTTTCCCCATCTCCTGACCGTTCTTTAAAACGCATCACAAAGTAAATGCATCCCTTTTCAGCCTCCATTTTGTAGTCTAGGCACTCCCCTATGTTAAATTCTACTTTCATTTTCAAGGAGATTGACTAAAGGATGGAGACACTCAAAAGACTCGTCACATTTCCTAGACTTCGATGACAACTATGGTATTGCATACGAAGACTCACGGGTGCACTGCACAGCAGCATTAGCACTCCTCCCTGTTTGAAAACTCTCACCAGTATGACTGTGGAACAGCATTTGCCTTTCTCGCATTGGTGACTCGGCTATCTTGTGATGGATCAATCGCTCACCAAGTCCCTTGCTGTATGTCAGATGAAAAGCCCAGTATATTTCGAGAGAACAGCCATTCCATGTAGTTTTACATGGCCTTACTCTAATATGGAATTTAAATAAATTATTGGACCAGATTACTATTATAGTTCAGAGAACACATGCTATACTCCAAGGATCTTGAGCTTGTGCTCACTGGAATCAACGAAGGAAATGACTGCTTTTTATTTGACTGATTTTGGAACAAGTCAAAAAACCTGACCAGTATGCAAAGGGTCAGCATAAACCCCACGCTTTGAGTTCATATAAGCTGACTAAAGCGATACTATTTTTATCCCAATGTCAGAGTACATTTCACACACAAAAGAAAAAGTAGAGGAGAAGAAAGCATGTATTCTCTACAGCAACAAAAATCAAACCCGAGTAACCATCGGGCCGAAATTTTCCTCTGGGCAATATAAACTTAAAACAGGAGCACAAGCTTTTAAAATTATCAGTCTCATGCTTCCCCTATTACAGAACATGAGCTCACAGGAAACTTGCAATTCATTTTCTGCTGCAATACTCAAGTTTTGTTTAAATACTTGTGCTGGTTTTGGCTGGGGTAGAGTTAATTTTCTTCATAGTAGGTAGGATGGGGCTGTGTTTTGGATTTGTGCTGAAGACAGTGTTGATAACACAGGGATGTTTTAGTCACTGCTGAGCAGTGCTTACACAGGGTCAAGGCCTTTTCTGCTTCCCACCCCCATCCCACCAGCAAGTAGGCTGGGGGTGCACAAGAAGCTGGGAGGGGACACAGCTGGGACAGCTGACCCCAACTGACCAAAGGGATATCCCATACCATATGATGTCACGCTCAGCGTATAAAGCTGGGGGAAGAAGGAAGGGGGGGATGTTTGGAGTGATGGCATTTTGTCTTCCCAAGTAACGGTTATGCGTGATGGAGCCCTGCTTTCCTGGAGATGGCTGAACACCTGCCTGCCTATGGGAAGGAGTGAACGGATTCCTTGTTTTGCTTTGCTTGCGTGCGCGGCTTTTGCTTTACCTGTTAAACTGTCTTTATCTCAACCCACGAGTTTTCTCACTTTTACCCTTCCAATTCTCTCCCCCATGCCACCCAAGGGGGAGTGAGCGAGCAGCTGTGTGGGGCTTAGCTGCCGGCTGGGGTTAAACCATGACAATACTAGTATGTTAAAGAACATCCTTTAATCCAATACACTAACCACAGTTACTCTTTAGAGAATGAGTAAGGAAACATGTCATCATTTACATCCCTACAGCTTTTGACGGTTTTAATGCTGTACATCAGTATTTAGGAAAGTTGGTTTTACATACCGTTCCTGCAGTATCTAAGATTTCAAGCATACACTGTTGTGCATCTACTTCAACTTGCTGTCAAGAGAGAAAGATGGGGTTAGTTTTTCCTCTTGCAACTCTCCCCTCCAAAGACACCAGGAATTGTGTGATTTTATAAGCAAATTCATAATGCATAAAGCAACATAATGGCTTAAGAAGTTTATATGGATATATACTTTGAAAACAGCAGGAAGGAGCCTCTCAAAGAGCCCTAGTGACATTTTCGAAAGCAGCGTCAGCAGCCACGTACCACTTTGCAAAGTGATTAGGGATTTTTGATTATTAAAAAGGAGGCCGTTAAACTTGTAATGATGGTTATCAGCAACTAGCACAACTAATTTCTACTTGTTTCAGGGATCATTCACAGATTGAAAGAAAAGTACAGGTGAAAGCTAGAAAGTTGAATTGGCATACTAATGCTCATTTAATAGTAATTTAGATCAACAAGTAGTACACAGCAAACAATAAACCAAGCAAACCACTAAGAGTGGTGTCCCCAAAACAAGCCTTTAGTGACACTAATTAGGCAACTGATCCAGCTCAGAAAAATTTGCAAAAATAGAAGGTTTAAGCGGGATGAGTTTCTGTAGCTATTTCAGAGTTCCTCTATCCAGTTTCTACCTCAAAAAAAAAAAGGCCTTGAGGGCATCAAAGGACATGGAAGTGTCCTCAAGCTGTTTCAAGCAGACTTCTCACATTTTTTTTTTTCTTTCAAGCTATTGGTACACTTCCCTTGTTTCCATTTGCATGTAAAATTCCTAGTTGGCAGATCAGCACTCAGAAAGAACTTTGCGTCCCCTATTCCTGATATATGCATTATCACTAGTTTAACTTCAATCTTTTCTTTTGTAACTAGATTTGAGCTTGGGAGGCGGGGAAGAGGAGTATTTCCACTCCTCTCACACCTCCCCCATGTCTGCTAGGGATGGAGGTATTCCTTCAATAGCCACTATTTTAGCAGGTAGCTGACAAAGTTATTCAGCTAATTAAGCAGCATCTATTCTCTTTATGAAGAAATATCTGGGGAGTAAACCAAGGTGTCAAATTTCAAGACTTCATGCTCATATTATTTAGATCCAGACAAATTTAAAATATTTCAAGCCACATCCTCTCAACTTCAAATATTATAAAATTAGATTTAAGATCAATAGTACAGAATTGCAACTGCCAAACCAATACATTTTAAAAGTCACCCAAGACAAGCAGCAAGTTAGAACTGTAACTATCCGTGAGGGGAAGAAAATGACTGCATAAAGTATTGTCCAGACTTAAGCAAGACTTCAACAATCTGGCTGATTTGAAGAGAATACACAGAGATATTCCTAGTCATTTCACGACCAAACCTGAAAGGAACATTATAAGATCTTTGCTAAAAAAAAAAAAAATTACTTAGCAAAAGGCAAAATTTCTTGAGATGGCTTTACTTTTTCAGGCTCCATGGAAACAGTCTTTGGAAAAATTCACCCAGCAAACATCATGAATCTAGTATGACCTGAAGAATGTAAATATATAACAAAGGCAACGTTTCACTTTAGTACAGCTTGTGAATATTTTTGGAGTCATTTATTGGGCCTGACCCAAAGGCCTGCACCAAGTATCGGGATAGGATCCAAAATTCCTTCTCCTCTAATACAGAAAAAGTAAGTGGCTATATAGAATTTTTTGTTGCTGTTCTCTCTTTAATAAGAGTTCTAGCTTTGGCTGGAAGTCCACATGCTTAAGACAGACTAGGATTTTTCCAGCATATAGATTTCTATGAGGTCAAAGAAAACAAGTGTGAAATTATCGTTTTGCTCTCACTAATTCCTTTTCCGTTCAGAAGAGATTCTGGTAATTACAGGCTGCAATAGCTGTTAAAGCAGCCTCTTTATTCCAATATAAACGTAGCCCAGTGCTAAAAGAGGAGGTACTGCAGTTTCTGCCCCTTCCCAGCTAGGGTTTGTGCATCTTGCCTCCCTTGTATAGACACTGGTATTTTTGTGGCCACATGGTGAGCTATATCAGAGCATCAATGCGTCTGAAAAGTAATTCAGCTAGAAAAAGAAAAAATAGTTTTCGGCTGTGTCTTCTTAATAATCTGCTTCACCAAATGCTTAACTCTTTTGGTAGCAGAAAAAATATTAAGAAGACACAGCCGAAAACTAATCTGCTTCACCAAATGCTTAACTCTTTTGGTAGCAGTCCAGATGTAACCTATCTTAGCCTGGAATATTAATCATGGTCTCAGCTGAAACTGAGGAGTGAGCAATATGGAGATCCAAGATGATGCAAGCAGAGTCAGACCTTTCAGCCTGTCATGCTGAAGATGGGAAGAGAGAAACTAACAGGCCACTGTAAGTGTTTGTTCACTTACGATAGGTTTGTGTTAACTTATTAATAAAACAACAACCCATCTAGTGGAAGCGTACCAAGCTATCAGTGAAATTAGGAATACAGTATGTTGCCTCCAGTGTTCTAAAGGTGAGCCTCAAGTTGTTTTTAGCAGATTTTCCTAGTAGCAAAGAAGCTTAGAACCTCCAACATACAGGTGCAAATCTACCTGCAGACACTAACACGCACACACACACAAAATAATAATAAATATTATAAAAAAAGTGGTAGTTTATTTTACTTTTTAAAAAATCAGTATTGCCAATTCTGACAATGAAATTACCATTTTTTACTGACTAGCTAGTAAGGTATTATGCTTAAACATTAAAAAGTTAGTCTTGAATTATTCCTTTTAGACAGACTTTAAGAGCACCTTTACATTTCAAACTTGTTAAGTTACCAGGTATTACATGGTATTACCAGGCATACCCTTTTTCAAGCAATGACTCAAATATTTGACAATGTGTACTGCAGTTTTAAGTTTCTGTAACACTAGGGAGGTCTTTTGCATATACCTTTCTGTAGGAGTCTTCTATCGTAGGATCGTATTTTTCAACAAATATTCCTTGAACAAACTGTACAGTCTGCAACACAAAAGTTCCTGTAAGATTCTTCTTATATAGTGACATTTTGTAAACACTGTACACAAATTACTGTTCTAGGTGTATAGTCAGTTATCCATTACATTTTTGAAGACAAATTAAGTGATTGACATAACTATAAATTATAAGAAACAACAGGAAGTTAGATGTATATGCCTATTTGACTAAGTACTGTTAGATGAAGCAATGCTACACCTTCCTTTATCCGCTCTCACTTGGAGCGTAAGAATTAATGTGCATTGATTTAAGGTTTGCCTAACTGTTGGAATCATTATTAGTTTTTAGTTGAATAGGATACTGTATGTAGCTGCATGGCTTTTACATTTTGCATTTAGAACTACTGCATCTTCTGCTACTTATCTGCCAGCACAGGAATTAGTGAAAAAATGACTGCCAGCATTTATTAGTCTTAACTAGACTCAGTAGGATATTCCTGTGTACCTAGCACGTAGGACGTTTTTAGCACAAGTCAAGTGGAACTTTAAGACTCAATGGCCAAGTCAGAGCAGACAGATTCAAATCCAGAAATGCTGCAGTTACATAAAGAATTCAGAGGTGAAAGAAAAAGTTCTTTCACAATCTAAGATAATTTGTCATTTAAGTTTTCCTTTAGGAACTGCTTTGTAAGAGAATAGTTCTTACCTGATAGAGTGGACCTCTAGACCTTACTTTATGATAAGGTGCACAATTAAACTGAAAGATGTAAAGTTCTTAGGTGGGTTGAGAACATCATATTCTGTGAACTTTTTCAATGCTAGTCTAGGTCAGACTAAACTTTTCTGTAATTGTTTGTTTAACTAAAATGCACGAGCTCTTTGGTTTACAATCACCTACCTGCCGCAGCTATACACCTACTTGCAGGGAAAGATATAGAAAACATGCTAAACTTCCTACAAGCATGCAAAAATATATCTGTATTTGCATAAAAGGATATTAGCACTTTAGAGACTGCTATCAAACATTAAGCAAACAGCACCCTGAAGACCTTTCTAGAGACAGGAGTAACCAAGGCCAGACACAGGCAAACCAGTTCATTGTGCGAGTTTCATGAAGCAGCTTGATTTCCCACAGACCTACAGCTGGGTTACCCAAGTGAAGCCAGAGACCTTCACAATGCTGTGGCTATGCACTTCACTGCGTAAGACAGGCAAAGACCTGACCAAGCACCATCAACCAACCCCCTACAAAAATATTAGCATGCAAGAGCGCACCAATGGATGCAGATACACCTAGTAAAGGATGTACCTATTCTAGCCAGGAACCATCAGCAGTCATTACTTATATTTATGTTTATTTGTGCACACTCACATAAAAGAAATATGGGTTAATAGAAAGTGTATTAGAGAAAAAAAAAAAAGAAGACATGAGAAGCCTAAGAAAACGTACTTGAACTGCCTCACAGAGTACTTACCAGAGCAGACTTTCCAACACCTCCAGAACCAAGAACCACTAGCTTGTATTCACGCATGATGCAAGAGATAAATCACCCTCAATACCTAAAACACACAACAAGTTATTCACCCTTTTGATCAGCAAGACAACTATTTTATCATTACTACAGCCACTGTAAGATCGCATATTTAACAAGACATGAACAGTTATATATTGATATCAACGGATAAATGCAGGAGATATAACCATTATAACCAGGCATAACGTAAGCAGGATGTCACTTGAATTATTACATAATATGGAAACTATAGATATTTATTCAAGACACAGTAACCGCTGAACAATGCTACTTTTTCATCTAGCACAAATAAAGTACCTCCAAGGTTTTCTTGTTACCGGAATTTTAACACTTAGAGAACCACCATTATTTGATCTAGCCTAATTTCATAGTCAAGATAGTACAGATTTGGAAAGTTTTTAAAATGGAGATTTTTATATCCCATGAAACAGTAATTTAGAGAAGAGGCAAGAACAGATTAAGACTCTCTGTAATAAAGACCTCAGTATCATGATCTTGCCAAAATACCACAGGTGTTTCAAGGAAAAGCGCACAAGTATCTGGAAGAACTGCTCACACCCATGTGCATGTATCACTTCCTCAGAGGCCTCTGGATGGATTAATCTCCTTTATTTACAGCAAGGAGGAATCAGGCATAGAAATTAATTTACTCCAATTGATAGGCCAATTACTTGGATTCCAGCATACCATCCAGTGAGGTGTGTTCATCTCATAACATTTTCCAGAAACCTACAAAATCTCTTTAGTCATGCAAACAAGTCCGTGGCACCTCTCAGCTATAGTCACAGCAAGCATTAAAGTATTTCACAGGTTTCTCAAGATCTTTCAGTCACTCACAAGAAGTTGCTTGCACTATGTATTTTGCAACAACAGACCAAAACCAATATTCCCAAGAGCCACACAGACGCCTAAAGAGCTTGCAGTTTTACAACCACTACATTCACAGTATTGAATAGGTTTATCGGGTAAACCGCTGCTAATTTTTGTTACCTATGGTACTGATACAGTAATTCTAAAAATGCCTCTTAAATTTCACAGCTACTACATCCTCTCCTCATCCATCTCCCAAACTTATTTCATATCACACAAGTTTTTGTAATTTCATATATATACATATACACATGTAAATGATTTTGTTCATACGAGCTGACATGCATGAAACATCTCCAGTCTCCTCTGAAGAACTGAAAGCATCAGCATGCTGAGAAAAAAAAAAAACAGAATGGGAAACTTCTTTAGGCAACAGCATCTCTATTTGTATTGTCATTTACTTGAAATAACATCCAAAGTTTGTATGTACTGACCCAAAGTTTGATATATACGCAGAAAGTACAACCATGATACCACAATCCAGTTCACTAAGCAGGGTTTGATAAGAGGGCTTAGATTTTCTTTTTTTTTTTAATACAGTGGCCATTTTCCAACTATCAACTCTTAATGCAGCTACAATAAAATGCTGCAAAGCATCAGATATAGTATTTCCTCTACCTCATTACTGTTCTCCCATAAAGAAATATTGAATAAACCCTACTATAGTAAAGCTAACAGTTACTATTGATAAGAAACAATTATCCAAGAGGAGATAGCATACATTTTCTCATTCTGAAACACTTAAATGCTAAACAAAGAATCACAGAGATACTTGTATAAGAAAATTAAACCAACCCCTTCCCAGAAAGAAACAAACAAAAACATTTCTCAAAAAGAACAGCAGGATCCCAGAAGTCTGTTTTCCCTTCTTAAGTCTGAAAGTTGATTAATGTTTTGCTAGATATCTAACCGCAGTTATAACGACTGTAGTTTCATGAATAACTGGAAGCAACTAAAATATTCTTTTGAGACCAGTCCTCTCCTACAAGCTAGATCTGTTCCCCTGTTCCACACTAGCTACTGTGGCTGCCTACAGCAGTCTGTCAGATCTGCTTGCTCATCTTTGTTGAAAACTGACCCAGCAAAAACAAAACAAGGCCACAAATTTTAGGACATGTCTTTGGGTCATACTGCTTAAGAAAACACACCTCTCAGTCCTGCTAGCAACCGAGCTAACAGGACTGTTGCTGCTGCCCTGGGAGGAAGGTCTCAGTTCCTCTCCTCTACTGGCTCTAGTCCTTATCAGATTGAGTTACCTGTTTTTTCCCCTCTCCATGCACACAGAAAGATGAAACCCTTCCCAACAGACGAATAATTTGGGGGTTGGGGGAGAGAGGAAGTGCAGGGAGTCCAACACACGTGCTTGTACAAGTTAAGCAGCAGAAGCAAGGTAAGAAAGACCCCTCTCAGCCGCAGTAATCTCACAGCATCTCCGGGAGTGACACCATCAGTTAGGTGTTTAGCACAAAATGCTAAGATGATTTACATAGAAATTAGAGCACCTCCATGTTAGTGTCCATCTTTGCCATCACCGATTAACTCCACATTGTCAGAAGACTTGAGAAATCAACAGGCCAGGTCCTGTTTAATTTTCTTGCAAACACACAATGAGCAATCTCTCAACTTATCTAAACCACTTCTTGCACCTTAAGCAAGCAATAGGAATGCAAGGGGAGCGCCATAAGGAAATACTGACCTGATGCCCAGCAAAGCAGGTCTCTCCACAGGCTTCTGTTACCACTAAGTTTTGAGACTCTTCAGTGATTTTCACACCTAATATAACATCTTTTCACTCCTGACTTTAAAA